TTTTTTTTTTGGAGAGGATAAAACCATACTCGGTTCTAACTATAAAACTTTTGTCAATATTACGATTAAATATGAAACCCTAAAATTGCATACTTGTTTTTTGTTGTTGTTGTTGTTGTTTATAACAGTTGCCATTTTAAAAAAATGATACGCCAAGTTAAGGAAAAAGATTGTCTTTTTTTTTCGGTATAAAATTTTAACCAACTTTTGTGCTTTCAGAATAAACTAACTTATAAAGAGAAAAACCAACAAAAATGAGATTAAATAACCTCCCAAAAAAAAGAGAAATGTATGCTTAAACATCAGTTAGGTTTTTTTTATTGGTTTTTTTGGCTACTTTTTTTTGTCCAAATTTTTTTTTTTCTGGAATATAAATTGATCATTCGATTTGTCAGACTGCTGACGACATATTAGTTGACATTTAAGAGGTTTAACATTTAATAGTTCACCATCAATTATCAGAACATCGATTACTGCATATTCAAAGATTTATTACTGTTGTTTGTTGTTGTTTTTTTTAAATCTCTTTAAAATATTTATATTGTCTGAATTTTCAGTGCTTTTAATAATTGATTAAACTTTACAAAAAAAAAATCGTTTATTAAACTGAAAAATAATAATTGAACAGTTTGATGCATATTGTTGATGATTACAGAATAAATGAAATGCAGACAAATGCGGCTAAACGTGCTTCTGTTTTCGCTGAAGCTGATTACTTCTTCTCGGTAAGATACAGTTTTTATTGCCAACTGATTTTACTAAAGTATTTTTTATGCTAGAAAAAAAGATGAATGAAGATACAGAAAAAAATTTTATCAAAACAAAATATTTTTGTTTTGTTACCTTTATTTGACACCTAACCAAACAGTTTATTGAAAAAAGCAGTTAAGCAATTGTTCTTCTGAGCAAATTTAGTAGGTACAAAAAAAAAACAGACTTTTTTTACCTGCAAATAAAACAGTACTTTTTTAAAGTTTAATAATTTTTAAAAATTTTAAAAAACTATTAAAGAAGAAGCATTAAACTTTGTCTATTTTCAGATAATGCTAATTGGTGATAGTTGTTGTGGTAAAACGTGTTTGTTGATACGGTTCAATGATGGCAGATTTTTGGACAATAATTTTATCTCGACAGTTGGCATTGATTATCGGGTAGGTATATACTGTTTGGCGATGCAACAGTTTGGCACAAATATCAGCCAAGTTGTTCAGTAATGTTTCTGAAGAAAAAAAATTTTATGAATACTCCATTTGACTATCAAAAAAGTCAGCACCAATTTTTCTCACCAACAGTTTTTTTCATTTCTTTGCTATTTAATTTCAATGTTTTCTTTCCCTTTTCTTTTTTTTTTTTCGTTGCTCTTTTAATGTCGTTCAATGCATTTTCAGAACAAAATGATTGAAATTGACGACAGTAAAGTTAAACTACAGGTAATTATAACTCATAAGTTTTGAACTTGTAGCTCTTTATTGTCTTATTAAGTGTTGTTAAAAAAATAACATCAGGCAAATTTGACAAGCG